TCTCGGCATGCGATCTTAATTGATCCGCGCAACGAGCCCTCTCCATCTCGGTGTCGGCCCTTGAGGCTTCCTTGTTCGCCCTTAAAGCTTCGACCTCGGCCCTTCTCCTCTGGCCAATTTGTTTGACGGCGTTGCCATGGCAACGGCCCATATCGGCTATCCATCCGATGGCTTGCAAAACAAGAATTCAAAACTATAACTTCAACAGTATTTGGATTAAATGAAGCTAAGTTCGAATATGTACCAAAAGTGTCGATTGGGCAACTAGTGCTGTCGCATTCAGATCTGTTTCCACCCGGAAAGCCTCCTTGTCAGACGGCAACGACACGGACGTAGCCAAGCTGAATACGACTTCTGGATCTTTAAGCGCCGAAGCGTCAAAAGAAATCGGCATGTTTTTTATCATCGGCTGAATGACAAAAGGAACGATCACGTCCGATCCCTCTAACCGAGGACGTTTGTCGCCGTGTTTTTCTGAGCCGACCTCAAACTCGACAGGGCGTTTCTCTGCCTCAACTTCTTGGCTGGCCTGCACGAGCAACGTAGATTCAGCATCCCGATTTTCCACCGTCTCCACCTCAACGTGCAAGAACTCTGATTCGCTAATAAACAGGGAGAATTGAGATTCAGTGGCAGATGGTACTTCAGACGGAAGGGCCTCCGCTCTTTGCCGCGCGGCCAACCTTTCCGCATTCGCCTTCCTGGCAAGTTTTGTCAGGCTTAACCCGGCCCTGTCTTCGGGGTCTACGGCGAAAATATCCTCTAAGCCGTGAAAAACGCCGTCAAGTGAAAGATCCCCTTGGACTGAAGTGGATGGGGGATCGGCCGAATTCAATACCACGTCAGACTTGGTTTCGGACTGATCTGATTCGGTAACATTAGCTATATCCCGTTCCGAATCAGACCCTCAAAAACCAACCTGCCTCAAGTTTTTGAAATCGGACAAAATAAGAGTGATGAGAGAATCTTCGCCCTCTGGAACCGGGATATTTTCCGCTGCAGAGAAGGTCGTATATGTCGGCTCGTAACGAAGCAGAATGTGGGCCGCCCTGCCTTCTTTCTGAAGACTTCGACGGCCGAAATATTTGAGCGCGACTTCGATATCCGAAAGAATGGCGCCGTCAGTTGAAGACAGAACTTTCTTCAAATTGCGCCTTGCACAAGCCGAGCCGTAACATTTCAAAGAAGAGGCTTTACAACAAAAACGAACAAATAATAAAAGCGAGAAGGCGATCAGCCACCTGGCTCGCCCCTCCGTCTAGGAATAGGGTCAACGTGATCCTCCCCTTCGCCAAATTCCCAGTTACCCTGGACAACGACCATAACATCATCAACTCATTTTCCAGAACTAGAAAGGATAGTAATCAGCTGATGGTCGATATCCTTGGCCCTAAGGAAGAAACGCCCGTGCCGACCAGAGGACTTAGCCAAGGCATAACAATGCCGGATGGCTGGAATGCCAAGGTTAATTCTTAGGTGACGGTTGAGTGCTATAACCCCCATTATGATTCTAAAGAAATTCACATTAGGTTAGGAAGGGATTAAACCCCAATGGCGAAGCACAGTCCTAAGAAACGGGTGAAGGGGGAAACAAACTCCACCCTCTACAATTGACAAAAGAGGAAAGACAATCGTGGTTTTGTCCTCCCTCTCCATATCAAGAGTGCCATCTGCCACAAGCGACCGACGGACATCATCAGGAATGGAGAAATGGCGTTTAAAGCCAGCAATTCGATCTGATAAGATGAGGTCTTTTAAATGTTTCGCCATGCCCTACAATTTATGAGAATATGCCAAGGAAGGAATAAACCAGAAAGAGTCTTCGAAGCAAGGGAGGAGAGAACTTACAAAGGACGAAGAGGATATCGGAGAAGAGAGTTTTAGGGATGATTCAAAAGGCAATCCAGCGATGAGCGTCATAAAATACATACTTCAAAGGACGTCAAAATTTTAAATCGCAATAAATAGACACGTACGAGGGGGCGGGAGGTCGACATGACAACCAAAAGGGGTGCGCTTAGATATCCACATGAGGATGAGGCCAACCGCCGAATTTTGGCTCCAACTTTTCGAAATGCAAAACCAAGCACTCCAGCCAACTGTCGTCGGTGAAATGCTTAGGGGGCAATTGTGGGAGCCGAATAAGTAGAATAGTCGGAAGATGCGTACCCCAGAAATTAGATACTGTTCAGCTTCATGTTGCGTGACTAGGACGCCAAATAGGTTAGGAAAGCCGAATAGACGAAGGTCAGTGGCTCCGAATGAATAAAAGGGGAATGGGATAAAAGTAGGCTCAGGCCCCGAGGCCCAAAAAGCAAGTATAAATACAAGAACCACAGATTTAGAAAGGTATGTAAGAATCACTTTACAAAACTTAGTAGACAAGCTATTCTGAGTGTCTGAACTGACTTGTCCGTCGAAGTGCTAATTCCGGCACCCCCGACCGGAGTGTTTGTGTCTTTTCAGGTGACTAGCTGAGGATCACTAGCGTCTCCCAGGATCTGAAGAGTATTTCCAAAACCACTTCTCCACAATTACCATATGCATTTTCCCTCCGTACCAAAGTACACATCAAATTGTAATTTCACAAGTTCATTACAATTCACACATACTATCATCGACTCAACACATTTCTCAACACTTTCCACCTTTTGCCGACTTGATATAGTGGAATAGCGAGCACCCAAATCTTAACACCTTTCACATTTTACTAGTTATTATACGACAGGAAGTGAACTCCCAAAAACCATTTTCAACTTTAAAAATCATCAAATTTTCCACTTTTGCCGGCTATTATACGGTGGGACTGTGTGGACACTCAAAAACATTTTTCCTACATTCGTCCAGTGATAAGCCTAGACAGGGCATTTGGGCACCTTTAACTCAGAACTACCCCCACATTTGCCGACTATTATATAGCAGGACGTGGGCCCCCAAAAACCTTTTTTAACTCCCTGCGTGGGTACCAAATAAAACTATATAACTAATTTAATCTATTGTGTGATCTTTTTATGTTTTAGTGTAAGCAACAATGTTATGAAGATGTAGAGGGTTAATGACCATGTTGGCTATGCATTAAAGTGGAACATAAATAATATGATGGCTGAAATTTGGTTTTCAAATTAAATTTTATTTTTTGAATCTTTTATGTTTGTCTTTAATAAATTTTTTTAATGTTTTAAATTTTTTATTACATGCACTTCATTCATATCTTTCCAGTGTCAGTGACATCTGTAGTTTAGGTGGATGTTCATTGACATCTGTTATTTTTGCAGTGGCATTTCATTGACATCTATGAGTCCTTCATATTGGTTTGGAATTTTATTCTCATTTTATTCTCATTAGCCTCATTTCAAAAGCAGCAGTCAATGCGTCTTGGAAAGCTAATCTTTATTCTCAAAATTTAATCAATAAGTAAATTTCTGGTTACAAAATTCTTGGTGGTTTACATTTTTCAATTATAAAATCCAAGTAACATCTAGCATACTCTCAAAATTGTTGATTAGTTGAGAAGAAAATTTTATAGTACATCATATGCCAAATTATGATTTTGTGGTCTTTTGATTACTTCCTATGTTATGACTTGGTCATTCAAAGAGTGCATTACTTTTTGTTCAATGTATGTTTATGGGATCGAAACAGTGCATAATCGACCCGAACGAAATCAAGATTGTGGCGAACGTCGCAAAGGGTTAACTGTATTCACAGAAATTGCCCGTCCTATTGGCCTAATCACAAGGGATGCTGATATGTCACAAGAATATCGTGATATGGCTCATTGGTTCTTGTTGAACAGTAGCCCCAAGATAGAGAAGTATCTAGAGTATGTTTGTGTATTCTTAGCTTTGTTAATGTAGTTAGCAGTGCATAATAATCACATTCTTTTGAGTAGGATACAAAAAATCTATTACGGACTCCATCTGACCAAGGCATAACCCGTATACAACAACAAGAGTTTCCCAAGTGGTTCAAAGAGCGGGTAAGGAATTTTCAATTTAAGACATGATTAAAAATTTGTATAAGATTTGATCATTTATTAATTTATTTTTACTATCTTAATGTATGTTATATGTGAATGTAGATAAATATATTGAGAGAAGAAAAGTCACCAGAAGCAACCAATGATTTATGGTCATCTGTGATTCATACAGAATTGCCTTTGCTAATGTCACAGGAATTCTCATGTAATCAAAAGAATGATCCATATGTTATGAAAAATTCTGCTGCTGGATGTGCTCTAACAATGCGAGTGTGCATGTTGACGTGCATCAAGCTAGATGGAGTGCCCTATTTGAACAGATGGATAAACGCCTTTCTGAAGAAAAAAAACAACTGGTAGTCTCTAGGAGAATGGTCTGTTTGGATATATTCTAAAGGTGAAAGCCCGTAGTCTAAGCTTTAGTCATGTAGGACGGGTGCATGTGCATCATCATGAAACTTAAAATATATTTGAATTTGAATTTGAACTCCTCCAACAAATGACTTAGGTCAAATCAGATCATTATTCACTTGATTCACCAAATTTTTTAGTAGATTACATGGACGAGGTGAAGTAATTCTAAGTCCTCTAGCATGACAATCACTGATGTACCAGAGGTAGGCGATGGAGAATCATTACATGAACCAGAAGAAAACGATGTGTTCCAACAAGAAAATATTACCGATGTTGTTCCAATTGACATCGGCCCTAATGTTCAATGTTATAGAGATGGTGTTGAAGCAGAAGTTGTTACAAGGGTTAGGTCATCTGATGAAACAATGATACAGAAAAGAGCTGACAAACAAAATGAAGAGTGTGACGAACCTGATGTGGATTACGATATGGATCTTGATGTAGACTAGGATTTGTAGTTATTTTGCACTTTCTATATGAACATTGTTCTTAATTAATGTATTTGAATTTCAGTTGTGGGGTTCATCCACTGTTATGTAGGTTTATCATTGATTGGTCATATTGTGCGTCTGATGGCTTTGTAATTAATTTGTTCTATGATAAGTAAATGGTAAAAACAAAAACCATCCATATCACTCTAGCCATATTTCAATGATTTAGAGCCTATATGACATATCCACTTGTTGAGATTGTTGTTGCTTTATGCTTTATGTATAGAAATATATAATTATCTTTTCTTTACATCTAATGTTCAATTATGCGTATCCACCAAAAAAATGTTCAATTATGCTTTATAGTTGGGCAAAATGGACGCTACAAAAAAGCAATTGACCAAACCAAGTACCGCAACTAAGAAGGTAACGAACTATGAGAAACAAAGAATGAAGAATATTAATAAAAACCGTGAGAGAATGAAGACTCTAGGAGTGAAGAATATAACAACTTGTTTGAAGGCTACGGTTCAACATAAGAAATTGAGGAAGGAAAAACAAATACCAATTGAGGAAAATGATGATGATTATCGACCGTCAGAGGCTGAAGATGGCAGTGACACTGAAACCTATGATTCGTTTGAGCATGAGGTACTATACATTTATGCATTGTGAAATATATTCTTTCTTGTTACTTTCAATTCATACACACATAGACATGTATATCTTTGTACATATATTCATATTTTATTATGTTATTCAGCTGTTAGAGATACCATCGAGAGCCCGTTCACAATCTCATCATGAGGCATTGACCCACGCATTAGAAGAGGGGGATACCTCTTCACGTCCTGAGGTGACTAGCAATCCACCACCACCTCTCAATGTGGAGCCTCAACTTGAGGTGACTGCTGGTAATACTATTGGTAAGACACACTCTTTATTTACATTGATTTGAGATCTTAATTAAATTTGTTCACATACTATTTCAATATTATGGCATCACAATATCAGCTGCTAAGCGTGCTCGTGGCCCGACTCGAGGCAAAGAGGTTCAAGGCCTTGTTGATAAAGATGGAAAGCTTAGCGTGCCTATCCCTCCAGAATTTCGTGCACCGGTAGGGGACTATGCCTCAAAACTAGCCTCAAAGATTGGTGTAGAAGTGCGAACTCGTTTACCAAATCCAAGTGTTCATAGGTGGAAGTATGTTGATGCCTCCGTTAAGGAGGCGATGTTTCAACGCTTGAATGTAAGTTCGTTGTCTACTTATAGGAGATTTTACTCATTTTTATAATAGGTTAGAAATCTTAATTATTTATTGTAATTATTTTATTTTTTATAAGAATTATCTATGACTTATCTATTTTTTGCAGGATCAATTTGATTTACAAGGAGACCCTGTTGATATAGAGAAGGCAATGAACACAAAATTTGGTCGGAGATTGAGTAACCATACCTATAGGCTGCACAAACAATTCATGGAGCTGAAGGAGGCTAAAGGGGAGGAGTACGCAAGAAACCACCCACCGAAGAATGTCGATCCTACCAAGTGGATAGATCTTATTGATAAAAAATGGAACACTAAAGAATTTCTAGTAACATTTTCATCTTTTTTATTATATTAGCGAAGAAAGAATTTGATTAGAATAGGGAGAGATTCTAAAACAACTAGAAAGAACACAATCAATTTGCTGTGAAATTCCATATGTATTCTTTTCCCTTTATCTTCTAGGCATGTAAGTGGAACATAATAAAAACCAAATAAGTGGAAAAATGAGAAAGGGAAACTATTAAACATGGATTGGAAGGCTCGCATAATAGGAGATTAATTTATGGTTCCTTAAAGTGCATCTTTCACATCATAGAATAAAGAACTAAGATTTCAGTTTCTATGATTGTATTAATTTTCTGTTTGTTCTTGGGTTTGGTCTGAAGTTTCATGATAATGGTAAGCAACTAGCTAAGTAACTAATATAGGGTATTGAGACAGAACTTTAGATTTGATAGAGTTGCGGAAGAAAGAAAGGGTTATGAGTTTGGTATCAGTAATTGTTCCATATCTTGTGAAATGTAAATGGATTTTTTCACAATCTATCTTGCCCATGCTTATATGCCCCCTATTTGTGAACGGTGTAAATTACTCGTTTTTCTTTTTTCACCCAGAAAAACCATCTTATAATGAAATCTCAACAAATCGTCTAATCTATTTTTCAAAGAATTGAATGAAACTAGTGAATAATTGAAATATCTTTTAAGTTGAAATGATATATAGGAAAATGATAGAGAGGAACAATGCAATTTCTTTATTATCAACCATTAAATTTGTTTTACTAGTGATACATTTCATTGTTATATTGGTTCATTATTCCTTACAGGAACAATCAAAAGCCAACATATTTGTCTTACTAATGATACATTTCATTGTTATATTGGTCATTCTTTCTTATAGGAGCAATCAAAGGGTAACATCTAAATATTAACTAACCAAACAAGTGGGAGGACACCTCTCCTCCCTTTCCTTCTCCTTCCTTCCTTTCACACTCTCTTAACTAGCTTTTTCTTTTGTTCTCCCTCCATCCACTCAATCTAAATGGAGTACAAAGGAAATAGTGGAACTTGAACTAAAACAAGAACAAAGATTAGTGATCCAAAGATAAGTATTTGGTAGAGGTGGGCAACGGTTTATCCGATCTGCAAAAACCGCCCAATCCGCCCAACCCACATACAAATGGGCAGTTTCGTAAATACAATGCGGGCGGATGCGGTTTGAAATATGACATATTTGCGGGTTTCGGGCGGGTTGCGGGTTTAACTCGCATCCGCAAGAACCCGCCCGCACTTCTTTATTTATTTATTTTTTTTTTATCTTAACCGTTGATTTCATTCCTATATCCTACCTAGATATTTTTGCCCAAAACAAAACA